AGAGAGGCTACAGGCAAGAGATCAAGAGATTAAGAGAGAGAGGAAGGAGCAAGCAGCCCCTTTTATAGTGGGCAGGCCTACCTGGCTGCTGCCAGATAACTGTGGGGAGGAGCATGCCAGGCTGTTGCCAGGTAACTGTGGAGGTGGAGTTTAGACAGAATACTAACAGCCTGGCTCCCTTGAAAATCCCACTTTTAACCTTCCCCCTAGGGAGGCGCTGGAGCCCCAGCAGTCCAGCCCAGTAGAGGAAAGTAGCAACTGCACGTCTCCTCTCTCTCCTTCCAGGGTGTGAGGAAGAAGTGTATCTACAACCCATTACCTTTCAAGAGGAGTGTGGAAGGCTGCCAGAACCTGTGCACCCTGGTGGTCCAAATCCCCAGGTGCTGCAGTGGTTACTTCATGCCGGACTGTCAAGGTGAGATACTCCTTCTCACCATTCTAAAGGGGTGTGGACAAGTTGTGCTTTTTAAAGTATCCAAGTTCTAATGAGGTAGGGAAACTCCACCCTCGTGGCTCCCAGGCCCGAACCCAGCACACGGAACAGTTGTGTGTTCGTCTCTTCCTGTTCTGAGTTTTACTGAGATCCTACTTGGACATCAACTTTCATGTTTAAAATAGACCACAGCTGGGCCAGACACACAGGCCTGTAACACAGTGAGTTAGGAGGCTGAAGCTAGCGGACCACAGCTCAGGGACTACCTGAACCACGGAGTAAGGACGTGCAACAACAGCCTGGGTCACGGAGATGCTGTCTCAAAATAAAAAAGGCTTGGGACATAGTTCCTGGGAGCATGTGGCCACCTGGGCTTAATTTCCAGTACTGCAGAAATATACATACATGCATACATACATACATACATACATACATACAAACAATACATACATACAAACAATACATGCATACAATACATCCAATAAACTTATAACACAGACATTTCCCCCTGGTGCTTTAAAATACATGCCGTATTACCTATTGTCGGTTCTGTACCGTGTCTGTCATGTTGGGAAGCATGTCTGCATAAGTGCTTTGACATAATTCTGGCTTTGAACAGCGATGTACTGATACAGTTCTGTGGAGCACGATTTCCTTTAAGTCCACAGTTACAGGGGTATAGCATCATCCTCTCTTCTTTGGCTCCTTGTCAAAGGGAGTTTGATCTCAATTTGGAAACCTTGACACCAGCAGCAATGCTTAACAAAGGCCTACAAAGCGTGCCTCATCTGCTGGACTTTGCTCTAGGTAGGCACAGCGCACACATATCATTGAATACTCACATGTACTGGTACATAGTCATGGTAACAACAGCGCTGCCATCCCCTGTAACAGATGAGAACTAGAAGCTCAGGAAAGCTAAGAATGAGCCATGATATTCTCTCTGCCATGTGTGTTCCACTCATGGTCTAGAGCAGTGGTTCTCAACCTTCCCAAGGCTGTGACCCTTTAATACAGTTCCTCAAGTTGTAGTGACCCCCAACCATAAAATGATTTTCATTGCTATTTCATAGCTGTAATTTTGTTAGTTATAAATCATACTGTATACATCTGATTTGCAAGATATCTGATATGTGACCCCTGTGACACCTGATCCCCAACCCCCAAAGGGGTCAGAAACCCACAGATTGAGAATCATTGGTCCATAGGACCACACTGAGCTGAATACAGTCACCCAGATCCCAGCCCCCATCACTAAAATGTGGAGCACTCCTGAAAGATCACTGGAAACCTTTACATCTGTTTATCCCTGCAGAGTTTTAAGGTACCCTCGGAGGTCAGGGGCTGCAGCTCAGATGGAATGCACAGCGGTCCTGGGTTTAATTCCCAGCACAACATACAAGGGGTTAGAGCATACATCTGTAACCCCAGCACTCAGGAAGTGGAGGCAGAAGGATTAGATGTTCAAGTTAAACCTTGGCTGCATAGCAAGTTCAAGGCCAGCCTAGCATACATAAGATTATGCCACCCAATCCTTAAAGTAATGGCATGGTATAAGCCAAGCTGCCACCGTGTCGTGGTCATTATCGTCATGGCCACCATCACTTAGAGCCACCAAGAACTAAGCTCAGAGCAGGTTGTCCACTTGGCCCAGCCTCCTCAAACCCAAGACTCCTGACCCCGGTTACAGCATACAGCCCGTAGCCCTGTCAAGGTCAAATCAGATCAGACACTTGATACTTGGGTCCCAAATGCCAGTAGCTTACCCTGAATGTGCACTGACCCCCCAGAAGCACTGAGAGGCTGTCAGAATTAACACTGTGCTTACAGCAATGCTGAACAGCCCTGGTCTTGGAGACTGTGTGGTCACTGCTATTTCCTCTCCTTCCAGCCTGCCCTGGAGGACCAGACACACCGTGTAATAACCGGGGCACGTGCTTTGATATGTACACACCTACAGGACCGTGCCTATGCCACACCGGTTTCAACGGGACAGCCTGCGAGCTCTGCTGGCCTGGGAGATTTGGGCCTGACTGTCAACGTATGTGGCCTCTTGCCTTGTTAGTCTGTTTGCTTCTGTATGTTCCCTGTCCTCATCCCTGCCACCCACTTGGCCTGGGAGTAATAGCTTTCCTTTTCTCCCACCCACTTGCTCGGTATGTCATTTCCCTCCCTGGATGTAGTCCCTTGAAAGAGCTTCACTTCTACAGTTGAAATTCACAGCCCCTGAACCCACTCGAGAACCTGTGGCTAAGCCACACCCACACATTGAGTCCTGCACACACATGGTGACTACTGGCATTCATCAAGTACTTATCATGAGCCAGGCACATACAGTTTTCCATTCAATCCTTAGCACAACCTTGGAGGTGGGAACTGATGTTGATGGAGAAACTAAGGTGGGAAGAGAATAAGTGATGCACTTGCCTACTTGAAACTGTCCTAAGGTTCAGGGGAACAGAGGTTAGAGGGGTATAGGGACAATTCAGCCCTGATCAAAGAGGGTAGGGAAGTTGAGGTGTAAGCAGATAACAGATCTAAACAAAAGACTCTCACACAGAGAATCTAAGCTTACAGGAATATCAAGAGACAGCAGACAGACCCTACAGCAATGCTGAAGATGTCTTCAGTGAGCATACAAGGCCACTGAGCACTCAGAACTGTGATGAGGAACTGCATTTCAGTTAGTTAACCTTGCAATGGCCTATGTCATGAGGGGCCACCCTCCTCATGCACAAACCAAAGTGACTTTCCTGGAGGAAAGCAAATGCAGAGGCCTAGGCAAGTGGGCCTGACCTAGACCTGCCAGAAACAGCCGGAGTAGGTAAGGAAGGGGAAGAGAGTGAGGAGATGAAGCCTGTGGATCACCAGGAACCAGAACACATAGGGAATTCTAGACCTGTGGAAACTGATCAGCGTCTATCCCAAGTGTGACAGGCACAGCGACCAGTGAAGGGTTGGGAACAGAGGACCGTTGTAAACAATTACAAGGGTTCACTGTAATGGCCCTGTGGAGTTCACACAGTAGGAGAGCAAGTGCTGAGACAGGGCCACCACTGGGGAGGCTGGGGCAGTCATGCATGGAGGCTGGGGCTGCCATACTAAGTGGTAAGCAGCAGAACTGGTGCATGGTTTTGAGTTTTCTTTATAAGTAGATTCCCCCAATGAAGTCGTCACCCCCATCTGTCCTGTGACGTGCCCCATGGCACTCTGCTTCTGTGATACAGCTTTGTGAAACTTCTTATCACACATTCATCCCTACGCATCCCTACAGAAGCGCAGCCTTACCTATCATGAACTTCCGGTGCTCCAGCCTATGGATAAGTGATTTGGGGAGTCCTGAGGGAAAGCAATGAGATCTGTGGTAGAAGCCTGGTGGCCCTCACGCTGTCGGGGCTGTCACTCATTACTGGGCACTCTGATTTCTCTTACAGCCTGCGGCTGCTCCGAGCATGGGCAGTGTGACGAGGGGATCACAGGCTCTGGACAGTGCCTCTGTGAAGCAGGGTGGACAGGCCGCTTCTGTGACACTCCCACAGGTCTGTTGGGGAATGGCCAGCCACTGGCAGCCCTTGGCTCAAGGGGACTCTATTGAGGGAGGGCAAGTAAGCTGGGATCTGGGTGATAGCCAAGAAAATGACAATGAGAGTGTTCCCACTTCTACCTGTAAACTGTAAGTGTTCCCACCTCCACCTGTAAACAGTGTGGGTGTTCCCACCTCTACCTGTAAACACTGAGGGTATTCTCACCTCCACCTGTAAACAGTGTG